ACTTGGAAAAATGTTATGCAGCACTTATTATTCAATATATAAATAGCCGTATTTAAAAATCGTGTCCTTATTAGCGTTCTGACAAAATACACTGCCGTGCAAAAGAAAGCAGACACTCAATCTGATATTGACAAGACCTGTTTCACTCTGCTCATTAAGGTGTACTACCCGTGAAGATGCATGATAGACTACGTCTTAAGCAACCCATGCTTGCCGTAAATTGCAACTATGCTTGTCGTAAGAGGCCACTAACGGGATCATTGGTCAGGCTCGCTGACTTGGTTGATGCATGTAATCGTATCCCAAAGCGTGGATCGATGCTCATGATGTAAATCACTGGATGGTCTGGTCCAGACTCGATTATTTACAGACCGCCGTTATATAGCTGTAATATTGCTGAGTGCGGCGTTAAACAACAAACAAACAAACATTATGGTCTACTGTGAAATTGCGACCCCTATGTTCCTTGGGACGTCATGGCCACGTCTCCGGTGGTGAGATACTCATTGAAATTATGCATGTAATATCGCTATAATACCCGCATCAGACAGATCATCATCGAATAACCATTTTTGTGTTTCATTTTTAGCCACCTTCCAAAATGGATGTATACTTTCTTTTGTAGTGTATGCTATTACCTGTTTGTATTCTCACTGTGGGGAACTCATATTGAACTACAAACAACCGAAATAGACTATATAACATTTTGTTATGTTAGTTAGTGTAATTATATGAGGGCCATTTCAGTTGCTTCATCTGCCTTCTTATATCACATGATGTCCTCGTGAGAAGGAGTGTTGTGTTCTTCTAAAGTGTATATAAGAATAAGAATAAGAACAAATTTAAGTAATGGTGACAGACGTTAAATAGATTATGAACTCAATTAATTTCTGAAAAACATTTTTTTAAACTTACATTTTGTGGTTAAGTTCAGTGAATGTAAATAAGAAATCTTATTAGAATTATATCCTAGTTTATATATATTGGTCTGTATGTTTCGCGTGTGTGTTTAAAAGAAAGTTCTGTACTCACTGAGGAAAACGTTTCACCACTTCATTTCAGTACAGTGAACGTGTTAATTAGTGTGCTTTTAAAAGCCCCTTTCTGCAATATTCCACCAATATCACGCCGGGAGACACCAGAAAGGGTTTTCACACATTGTACCCAAATGGGAATCGAACCTCGGTGTTCGGTGTGTCGATTGGACGCTTATACCACTAGGCTACCCCACCACCCCTTCAGTACAGTCATCTTAGTACTTTCTTTCAAGACCAGGTGTGTGTTAGCAAAAATACAACTACATTTGAAAGGTTCGGGAAACAAATGAGTCTTTATAAACAGGTGCTCTAACCACCCTAACTACACTACAATGTAACTACAACCGGTTATTTGTCTATATTAGAAACGATGTATGACGCTCCAAATCGTAACCTCAATATTAGCCTCCTGGTTCAAACCCAATGTCGCAATTGTAAAGCTATAAACACACTTAAACGAATATAAATGAAGATAAGGTTGTAATCAATGCGGCTCGAAGATTCCTCCCTCATTGTTAGACTCAGCAATACCGCCGGTGTGTCGGATTGTGTTCAAATAAACTTCACTCTATGTAATAATTACACAATGCGATTGTCATGTGAACAAAAGGATCACTGCACCGTTAAGCGTGGTTCACCTCCACACACAAGTGTCGGTTGAAGCAATGTATAAACCATAGATAAAGGGATAAATAAGAGACATCTCGCCTTGTCAGACCCTGCGATACCTTTGTGGGACTGGCAGAAGTCATGTTATACACTATAGAGGGGTCAGAGTCGATCAGATTCATATCCTAGCTGCCATCCCCCAAACACTGACGGTAATATGGACCATGCACTTAATCAAAAATCTATAATGACACTTTGGGTGTTAACAATGTCTTCAGGTGAACAATTGACTTGCCTTTGTATGTGTTTGTGACGAGTGGGGCAGGACACGCTCACCATTTCGCGAAAACCTGGTGTCATTACTATTTGATAGTGCTCATGATATAGTCGGAATCGTACAATCGACTCTGCTTTATGCAAAGATTTCTATTGGATATGGAAAGAGTTATGTCGCTTAATTCCAATAACTCAACGGGGCGGTCAGGTAGCCTAGTGGTTAAAGCGTTCGCTCGTCACGCCGAAGATCCGGGTTCGATTCCCGACATGGGTACAATGTGTGAAGCCCATTTCTGGTGTCCCCCGCCGTGATATAGTTGGATTATTGCTAAAAGCAGCGCAAAACCATACTCACTCACTCACTCCCCAATAACCCAACTGCACCGCGAACTACTTTGAGTTAACAGTGAGTGAATGGGTAATGTTGTTTTGCATCGCACTCGGTAATACTGGGTGTTTGGTTCGGGGATATTTATTTTATATAATTTTTCGCCCAAGAGTATTTATTTAAGAGAACATAAGTGACACATGAGTTGGGGCCCATAATACGACCAGAATGCCTGCCGTTATTTATTTTGTCCAATTGAGGTGCCGGTTTTATTCTTTCTTTCAAAATCATCACACCCCTAGAGATGTTCAATGACGGTGGATGGCTGTCAGGTTATTTTGAACTGGGGTTCTGGAAAGGTGTATCATCCAGTCGGAACTATCGGGTTGTGTTACAGACGCCGTCATAATATGTAGTGTTAATGACGCCATGCAATCCAATGTGTATATATGTTAAGTCTATGTATAAAACCAATGTTCAAAATATGAATCGCTAAGGCAATTTATAAAATGCCTAAATATGTTATGTCATTTTACAAATTGACTAAAAAATCTCTTGACAGACTGACTGAAAATTATCAGCAAGTTAAGGGCTTAAAACATCACAATAAAGTAATAATGCTAGGATTAGAAGCCAAAAAATACATACATATACATAGACTTTCGTCTTCTTTTAATCGTGTCATTTTCAGTCACTCGGTGATAAAATTTAAGATCAAAATGTTTGAAATTTGTTATCATGATAAAATAAACGGACAGAATTTTTATTTGTAAAATAACTGAAATATTTAAGCATTTTGTAATTTGCCTAAGTGGAAAGTTCAGTCATTTTACCCATTGACGGTCATGTGCACACACAAGGAACCATTTAGCATTGAATCTCATTCTCATAGCGTCGTTACAAGCTTTACCATTCGACTGATCAACGGCAAATTCTACAATTCGATAGATATGCGACAGTGATGTCACTGTTGTGATGCTACTGCATGTTCAACTATATCAGTAGTACTGCGATGGCTTGCTGAGTGCCTGCTCCGCCCTTCATCACAGATTTCCTCGTGGTCGATGTGTTGACAAAACCTAACACACGCATTGAGTCTGGAGTCAGCGAGTGCTTACTATTTACTCGCCTTATTATATATGAGTAGTACGTTACAGAAGACTTTATAACATATTTACTCGCCTTATTATATATGAGTAGTACATTACAGAAGACTTTATAACATATTTACTCGCCTTATTATATATGAGTAGTACGTTACAGAAGACTTTATAACATATTTACTCGCCTCGGTTGTACGTTACAATAGAATGTATCACACAGTAGCTTACAGTAGACTTTATAACATATTTACTCGCCTTATTATATATGAGTAGTACGTTACAGAAGACTTTATAACATATTTACTCGCCTCGGTTGTACGTTACAATAGAATGTATCACACAGTAGCTTACAGTAGACTTTATAACATATTTACTCGCCTCGGTTGTACGTTACACTCGAATGTATCACACAGTAGCTTACAGTAGACTTTATAACATATTAACTCGCCTTATTATATATGAGTAGTACGTTACAGAAGACTTTATAACATATTTACTCGCCTCGGTTGTACGTTACAATAGAATGTATCACACAGTAGCTTACAGTAGACTTTATAACATATTTACTCGCCTCGGTTGTACGTTACACTCGAATGTATCACACAGTAGCTTACAGTAGACTTTATAACATATTAACTCGCCTTGTAAGTTTTAACACAGTAGTAGATTACAGACGACTTTATAACATATATACTTGCCTTGTCAGATTCAGTATACACTAGTAGTTTACAGAAGACTTTATAATAACTATTTGTTTTGTCAGTAGTATTACACAGTAGTTTACAGAAAACTTTATAACATATATTCGTTTTGTCAGTAGTATTAAACAGTTGTTTACAGAAGAATTTATAACATTTATTTGCTTTGTCAGTAGTATTACACAGTAGTTTGCAGAAGATTTATAACATTTATTCGTTTTGTCAGTAGTATCACACAGTAGCTTTCAGTAGACTTTATAAAATATTTACTCGCATCACACAGAAGTAGTGCAGTAGATGTATAACTGACATATTTACTCCGTCAGTCAGCATCGACCAGTACACAAGAGCTGTCGACACTACCACCATTACCACACGTTGAAGCATTCGATGCTATAATACATGACTTGTCTACACCACTGACAGTCAAATGCAACGACCATTCTTGCATAAGTTGATGGATAGTCGTTGTCACACATCGCTAACACCAATGTTAGACAGACATGAGCTGTATAAACTGAATAATACTTTTCTATAACAATTTAACCTAACTACGATAACGACATATTTGTTCTATTCTGAATAGCTAAAACCCCAGGTAGAACCTAAACGGGCATTTTAAATTGCCTCCTCACGGCATAATTTTGATTTCATACGCAATAACATCATGGTTCACCGCCATGGTATTTAAAACCCATTGTCGTCATTTCAGTACACTACACTTCTTTAAATCCATAAATGATGCATCTTATTCCTGTTAACCGTTTCAACATATATTTCAATAAAACATAATGCCGACTCTAACCTTATCAGAAAGGTGAAGACTATACGCCCGATAAAGTCTCACGGCTCCATATTCGTCGGAGACCGATGTTAGTTATGTTTGTTTATTTTTCGACATGTATCTTATCAATAGCTATCCATAAAACTAACAACTACCGCCTCTTACCTTGTCGCGGAAAGGTGAAGGCTACAGATCTGATAAAGCGTCACAGCTCCATCGTCATCGACAGTGACACACGCGGGCGTTAATTCATCCCCTCTCTGATCACTTCTGTTGATAATCCTGACACTGTCACTGGAATAGTTTCAGCAAACCGAGACGCAACGACCTCCTTTGATGCCAGGCTAACGCACAACCTTAATAATTATAGCCATGGCAAAGAGACACCACTCAAACGTTATTGTATGCCCGAGAAGAGCATTTGGTAATAGGCGCTGTGGCTTCGGGGTATAGCTCGTGTATAATTTTGGATGATTTTGTCGGGATTTTGAAAAACCTGTTAACACATCAATCTTTAGTCAGCACTTGAGACTGTACCATTCACCTGAACGTCCTTCACGGAGGGGCTGGTCTTCTATCTGATTGTCAGGTACGTAATAAGGCCCATGCGCATCTCAGATCATCCGTACCGTTTGAAAGCAGTTACGCCTGTTACCATCCAAACCTGCGGAAAATATACATCCTGATTTTTAAATTGTTCACATACCCTTTAGTCGTATTCAGCAGTTGAAAACAGCAGTGACGCGTTCCATACATCCACCAAGGCAACACTAGAAAATCCACATCGAGGAGCAACACTGGTAACTTTTCTCTATCAGGATGACATTATCACAACAGTCCAACTGACTAGTGTCTGTCACACCTCCGCTGTGGCAGTCCCAAGTACAGGATGTAGGCTTGCTATGAGGCGACGACACCTGCGCCTCCAACACCATCCACGTCGTCTCACGTGGGTCACTCCGTCACAAATGAATACCTCACTAGCACTGGTCTGGCCACCCTCTCCGGAGTATACGAGTAGTTTCACTGAACATCATATTTCCAATGCATTGCCTTCAGCGCAGTGTTTGTGTGTCGCCGTACGCTGCCTTGCTCGACTCGGCTGACAGCGGCGATACTCTCGGGGGCTGAAGAGACACTCGGTCGTCAGGCTTGTCGGCCTCGGATTGGGGCATTCTAAACACCATGGTCTACCGTGTAATACGTTGTTCGCTGGTGAAAACATTTTTTGACATATTGTTTTAAAGAAGTTGAGGTGTGATGCCTCAGTTAATATATATATATATGACCCTGGCTTTGTAGGATGTAATCCTGGCTACATATGATAAAACCCTGGCTATGTTTGATGTGAGGTGAGGTAAAATGGGGTTTAACGTCGCGTCCAAGATTATTGCACTTATATAGCGACGTACATGCACGTGTGTGTGTGTGACTGCTTGTACTAGCCCGGACTGATGCCGATTTTATATTGCTAGCCCGATGAGATACCATGCCGAAGTTTAATATGAATACCCCACTCAGGCACACAGTGTACTGACTGCGAGCCGACGAGTCTTTGGTTTAACCCCTAAATGCCGAGTGTAAGACAGGGTAGCAACAAGTACCATCTTTTAACGTCTTTTTGGTATGACGCAGCCGAAGATCGAATCCCGGACCTTCCGCTCTCCGGGCGGACACTCTACCACTAGACTAGGGAGGTGAGTGAGTGAGTGAGTTAACAAGCCCGAAGTGATGCAGGTCTCAGACGTTTACCACTTCGGTGAAACCCACGAGCACGGGTATGGTGCTGACAAACCTAAAAACATAATCGGGGCGAACAGGGATTCGAACCCACAATCATAGGTTTCTGGCGTGCCCAAGGGACGCAACTACTTAGACGACTTGGCCACCCGTGCCCCCAGACTAGGAAGGAGGAAGGTCTATGATATAATCCTGGTATGTATGATATAATTCTTGCTTGATATGATATAATCCTGGTATATATGATACAATCCTTGCTTGGTATGAGTTAGTGGGAAAACAGACGGTTTGTTGTTATCAACATCCAGTGTTGTTGTTGTTTGTTGTTTAACGCCGCTCTCAGCAATATTACAGCTATATGACGGCGATCTGTAAATAATCGAGTATGGACCAGACAATCCAGTGATTGACATCATCAGCATCGAACTACGCAATTGGGATCGATGACATACATCAACCAAGTCAGCTAGCCTGACCACCCGATCCCGTTAGTCGCCTCTTACGACAAGCATAGTCACCTTTTACGGCAAACATGGGTTGCTGAAGACCTATTCTACCCCGGATCTTCACGGGTCCTTCATCCAGGGGGGACACGGGATAGGACATACCGCCAGTACCTCTGATTCTCCTCCTGAACATACAGAGATAGCATATATATAGGTCTACTACGTGTCTGCTAACATCCATCTCTGTTTACAGTGAACAATTAGGTATAGAACGGGTTCCCACAGCTGCATAGCTGTCTCTAAAACCCGTCCATGTCTTTCGTGATCCTTAAGGAATAGGTCACAATATCGATGGCGTGAATCGTTGTTCATGTTATCAACCACTGGTTTCTCCGACTCGATTACTTATGGACCGCCATAACACAGATGTATGGCAGCCTATGGCTAGGTCCCATCTAACGGTACGTCCGTGACTGTGTAACGTGTATCGTAACAACAAACGTAACTCATTTCCTGACGGTGATAGCCCCTTAAATCTGCCAGTTATTCTCAGATCGGGGCGGTCGAATAGCCTAGTGGTTAAAGCGTTCGCTCGTCACGCCGAAGACCCGGGTTCGATTCCCGACATGGGTACAATGTGTGAAGCCCATTTCTGGTGTCCCCCGCCGTGATATTGCTGGAATATTGCTAAAAGCAGCATAAAACCATACTCACTCACTCACTATTCTCAGATCATATTCCTCCAAAATAATTCTCTCTCTCTGTCTCTCTCTGTCTCTCTCTCTCTCTGTGTTATAGGACGTTTAGTTTCCACGCAACGTATCCGCCTATCTGAAGCCGTTGCTGGCGGTTAATTATAACAACTAATCACTACCTCCGTTCTACCACGGACCTATATAACAAGTTCCTGGTTCTACTAGGTGATATAATGGGGTATGATCCTCTGTCTCTTAGTGTCCGCGGGTGTCGCGCTCGTCAGTTTAGATGTTATCACACAGCCTGAGCCATCTAGTCGTGGACGGCGCCCGACATGCTGTAATTGCCAAACAGCCCTGTGCACTTGGCGTATCAGTTTGGATTGCTATCTACGCTAAGTCGTGTCTGCCCAAGCGGCTTAGTGATATATAAGGAGATTCTGTGCCCTGCCATGAGAATTAGTAGATGTGTACTTTTCCTGGTTAAGGATAAAAAAAGCATGATGATATCAATTTGTGCAATGTGGAGTTTTGGTTTGGCAGCGGTAACCATGGTGCAGCTGCATTCATGTTCGTGCTGTTGAATTTCATTCCCACTTGAGAAAAAGAGGCGATCTTTGTCGCCTACAGCAGTAGGCGAGTCTCTATATGGTAAACTCAAATAGTCGATATTTCTTGAAGACAAACTATAATCAATTAGATTCCCTTTGCCACATGATGAAGATGGAGGATGAGGATGGAGGTCAAATGGTGTGTCATGTCCTGACGCGTAATAAGTGCATGAAGGGGAGAGGGTGGGAAGTAAACTATATATCTTCATTGCATAAATTACATTGCGAAATATCGGAAAATGATAAAAGAACATGGGATGATATGGCAGCTCTTGACAACAATATAACATACAGTAAGCTATGGTTATAGATAACTCAAAGGGACCACAAATTTTAGTTCGTTATAACCGTAGTTGGTTATAAGCATATATATATACAGCATATATACAGAAAATGGCAGGGATATAAAAACCAGTTCGTTATATCCGCCAGTTCGTTATAAACGTAGTCTACTGTATATGAATGTTGCCAGTCCACTAAGGTGCCGATACTCGCAATGCAGAATGACCTCCTATAGTGAACGTGAGGAACGCACGAATCCTCAATTGAACCTGGTTATATATGTGATTGCAGATTTATCAGCATGATACCCGTGTTCGTGGTTTTTCCAAAGTGGTTACCAGGGTAAACACGCGCATCCTACGGGGATAGCTCCCATATGAAGCTGACACGCCGTGACATGGCCGAAATACTGCTCGAAGCGGCGTTTAACCACTTAGTAGTATATGTTGGAAGGACTGTCAAAAGGAACTTAAGGTCGGCGAATCCTGGGGATAAAAAGTTCCGTACAAAATACAACAGGGACCGAACCATTATCGATTACTCAATGAATTCACTTCATTATACACTGCCGGGCAAAATAAAGTATACAGTAAACTATGGTTATAACGAACACGGTTATAACGAACAAACGGATATAACGAACTAACTTTTTAGTCCCGACTAAATGCTGTAGTTATGCTGTATATATGCTTATAACGAATTACGGTTATAACGAACTAAAATAAGTGGTCCCTTTGAGTTCGTTATAACCGTAGTTTACTGTACATCCATGTTTGATGGGGCTAAACGTAAACAAACAAGAAATGGTTATTCGATGGTGATGTATTTGATACGGGTATCAAAGTTGCGTTTTGAACCTTAGGTTTGCAGTGTTTCGGCGACTTTTTTCATCCTAGTAACATTTTGAAAACGTTTGTAATTTTTTGTCAAATCCAATTTCAAGTGTACAGTTTTCTTTGCTCGGAAGTGAGTGAGTGAGTTGTGTTTAACGCCGTTTTTAACAGCATTCCAGTTATATCGCGGCGTGTAAGCTTAATGTGGGAGGAGAGCCTCAAGTGATGCAGGTCTCAGACGTTTACCACTTCGGTGAAACCCATGAGCACGGGTATGGTGCTGACAAACCTAGAAACAAAATCGGGGCGAACCGGGATTCGAACCCACAATCATAGGTGTCTGGCGTGCCCAAGTGACGCAACTCTGCACAGCGAATAGCGGCGCCGTAGACGACTGGGCCAGTCGTGCCCCCTGCTCGAAAGTGTATCATGATACCCTTCTACATCTACTTGTCAACTTATGACAAGCCTAGCACATCGTTCCTCTCGCACGGTGGTGTTCTTTGATTGGACGGCTATCGTCGTGCATTTATAGGGTATTTATCATAAACCACATCCATGGATAACTGGGGCCGAACAAAAAGGAACGCAAATTCATTTTATTACGAACATAAAACTCCGAATCCCTGTTACAGACAAGTAGGGGTTATTTACAGCAATGTCAGATCCTGACCCGAGTAAATGTTTAAAGCTATTAACCTCTACACGATACTCTTGTTTATAAAGGTTTCACGACTCTGCCCAGGGATGTGCTCCCGGCTCTCTGTGTCATGAATAACGTGAATATAGCTATCACAGGTGGAAGTTTCCACTTAAGGATTTATAAATGTGAAACTAAGGATTGACGGGAATACGCATGGCACATCGGATATAAATATCAGAAATAGATAGCACTATCCCCTCTATTATCACAAATGGATCAACACCACAGCGATATCGCGTGTAAAATTAAAGTCTTTGTTCGAGTCTGGATCTAACAAACCCGTGGTTGATAGCACGAGTAACGATTAACGCCGTCTGGCGTTATGACATAGTATCAGCAAGGTCATACATTGTACCGACCTTCTCCCCAGTCACCATAACATACGTGGTACACACTCTGAAGAGACATTCCAATTTCAGAGGCCCAGATGAACCACACTAGACCTCGACCCGTGAAGATCCGGGGTAGAATAGGTCTTCAGTAACCGATGCTTGCCGTAAAAGGAGTATGCTTGTCGTAAGAGGCGACTAACGGGATCGGGTGGTCAGGCTAGCTGACTTGGTTGATGCATGTCATCGTAACTATCCAAATTGTGTGGATCGATGCTGATGATGTCAATCACTGTATTGTCTGGTCCATATTCGATTATTTACAGACCGCCGTCATATAGCTGTAATATTGCTGAGTGCGGCGTTAAACAACAAACAAATTATACCATACCTCAGACAAAAGCGACTTTATCTTTGTTTGTTTAACGCCGCACTCAGCAATATTCCCGCTGTATGACGGCGGCCTGTAAATAAACGAGTCTGGCTAGACTGGTG